TTTCTTTTCCTTTTTCTAATTTTTAGTCTATGATAACATGAACTTAAAAAAATTATTCGGCGTTCGATTATGTTTTGCTAGTTCTAAAACAGGGAAGAAAAACCCCCACAAATTCTGTATTTGTAACTATCTGCATATCTGTAACAGCTTGATTATAGTGTTTATGTTAGTGAATTGCCTAGTTAATTTTTTTACATATAGTCATATACTGATATACATATAATATAGAAAAGTTTAAAGTTTATTTTATAATGACTTATTTGGTATGAAAATTTAGGTTGGATTAATCTTTATTTGGAACAATTTTGTTGATTTAATTATTTATGTTAAATTAATTTTTATTTATGCTTGATGCAAAAAAAATCCCCGAGGATCCCCATTCCCCACGGGGAACGAGGATGGGGGGCGAAATTTGCCCCCGGTCAAAAATCCCCGCGGGGACCCCCGTCCCCGCGAATGACGGGGAGGCACTCCCCGGCCCCGCGAGACCCCGTTGACATCCCTACTCATAGACAGTGGATGCTGTAACCTGTAAGGAAGCCTGGGCAGTTGTTTAGTTTACTATTGTTTGGACCCTATGGCTATAGAGGAACACAAAAATCTTTCAGGGAGATATAGCAAATTATTCGGCGTTCGATTATGTTTTTAGACTCATTGGAGAAGATCCTGGAGCTAATCAAATGCAGATCATTCCTTTCGGTAAAAGCAAAAATCTAGCCCGGCTTAAGTCGCGACTTATGGCTTGAGTCACCAGTGGAAGCATGAAAAATGCAGCGGAGTTGATTCTGCAGGGATAAGCTAGTTTTTGCAGGATATGCTTAATTATTATTATTATCCTGTACTAGTTGAAACTATGAACTGATGTGAACTTAACTTATAATTGGAATGGGAGTAACCCCTGCACTCCCTATAAATAAATCATTGTTTTTACATATTAAAAAAAAAAAATTGTACACATATATCACTTCAAGTAATTTTTTTTTTTTTTTAATATGATTAAGGTATCCATGAACCAATCTTCATGAACTTCAAGATTATTCCCTTTTCAAACAATTTTAAAGATGCACAATCACATCAACCTAATGTATTCAAAAAAATTAATTTTCTTGAGTGTTAGCTCCAAAACTTAAATTCTTGATGTAACTTATAAGTTGAGATTTGCTTACTAGCAAGTGAATCTAATTGCTTCAAGTCTCTTGATTGACCCCATCAACACTATTAACTCTAAGGCCCATACCATAAACACTTTTCTCTAGCTAGTAACAGTTTTGCTGCCATAATTAATGGTTTCTTTCATCCAAAATTGGACGACGTACATCCCATTTTTAAAACTGTACTGAACATCTTCAATTCTCTTCATCATTTGATCAAAACTCCTGAATTGATCACCAAAATTTTGAAGTTTGGAAGATTACACTAGAGTGGTGCTACACTGCTTGTCATGACAATTTATGAAATTTTCACCGTGTTTGGGTGTAAACTTTTTCTGAAATGTTATAAATTAAGCGACCATGTTGCAGTGGCGATTTGAGCTCTATGACATGAAGGACATGATCTTTTGCAAAACGGTAAAGTCATGAAGTAGTGTGAAGTACAGTTTCAGAGGTCTTTTAAGGATCACTGCTAGACATCAGAATAGGCGGTTTGTTAAAAGTGCGTCTCTAGCTTTGTTGCAATCTCACATTTGATAAGCACAGCAGGATGCAATTGAGGTTCGATATAAGAGCAATAAAAAATCTTAAGAGTAAGTATACATTTCTTGACCTTTTGGATAAGATCAAATGTAGTATTTGTTTTTATCAATTTAAAATATGATACGTGAGTTACTGACACAATAACTTGCGTCACCATATATGGAATTGCACTATAACAAGGGCGTGGCATGGCGTACCCCACCAATTCATAATTAAAATACTTCAAGGATAAAATTTTAAATAGAAAAGCTTAATTAATGCTATGCTGCATACCTGAATGTACTAGATGCAATAAGATCTGGAAAAAAAATGTTATGGGTTTGCTTCTGGAAAAGCTTAATGCTAGAAAAAAATGTTCTGGGTTTGCTTCTGGCAAAGCTTAATGCAGTGCTTAATTTCATAAGAAGTCTGTATGTTTTTAATGTTAAAACATCCTAATTTTTATTTTTCTCTTGTTACAAAAGAAAAAAAAGCAGAGGATAACAAACTTTAAATTAAAAGAAGGGTGAGGAGAGGTGCTGCGCTCAGTGTTGTGCCAGCAAAATGCTTGATCTCTCAAATTTTCATTGTTATAACGAAGGTGAGAAGCTTCGTATAAAAGCTACGGGGGGGAAATAAATTGCTTCTGAATTAAGGCACATATAGATATGGTTCCATTATTTATATATAATATTTGAAATATGACTTATTACATGTTCTGGGTATGTCTTGTTCCTTTTGACAATAGAAGAGGACATTATACTGATTCTAGTTAACTAGTACGAAGGAAGGGAAGGCAAAAAATTATTATAGAAGTAAGACCCAGCTAGATCCCACATCGTGCAGAAATAAGAAAGCATAGGTTTTGAGTGCTGCATTTAGAACTGACTTCAATGTATACTATGTATGCAGCCACGCGGTGAGCACAAAGCGAACTATTCTTTCGCCTTTTACTAAAGAATACCGTGTGTTCTTCGCATTTAGTGGCATATGTTAATTTTTGGAGAGCTCTTCTTTTTGGATGAGCTCTACAATTTTAGTTTGAAGTGTTTTTCATTTTTTTTTTTGGCTCTACTCTCTCTGATAAACCCAACGATTTTTTCTTCGATGAACCCTACAATTTTAGTTTAAAGTTACGAATTTTTAATAAATATGACAAAAAATAAATAAATCTCAATAATTAAAAGAGAAAAGATGAATTTTCAAAAGACAATAATACATTTACACTTCTCCATTACACACTATGTTACACATTCTCACTCTCCGTTACTTTCCGTTAACTCACAAAGTCCCCAATAAAACCTGCAATTTCATCGACTTCTCCCTTAAGCTTTAGAAAAATGGACTTGAAGCCTTGAATTGAATCATGAACCCCCCAACACCCATTAGAGTAAGAGATACTAAAGGAAACAATGAAAGCTCAACCGTGCAAAGAATACAAAGTTAATCAATCAACATAGCACTTCAAACCCCCAACAAAAATGGTTCAGAAATTGAGAAAATTAACAACTACCCAAATTAAAAAAAAAAAAACCATGAAACCATGAAGATCTAGAGAAGATTGTGCCTGTTAAAAGAGATAAAAGAAAGATCTAAATAGGGGCATACCACCATGTGGAGAAAAGAGTTCGAAGGAACACAAGCTGTTGGGTTTCTAAATGCAATTTCATCCACTTCTCCCTCAAGCTTCAGAAAAAAGGATTTGAAGCCTTGAACTGAATCATAAATCTCCCAACACCCATCAGAGTAAAAGATACTAAAGGAAACAATGAAAGCTCAACAGTGCAAAGAGTACAAAGTTAATCAATCAACATAGCACTTCAAACCCCCATCAAATACAATTCAGAAATTGAGAAAATTAACAACTACCCAGGTTAAAAAAACCATGAAACCATCAAGATCTAGAGAAGGCTATGCCTATTAAAAGAGATAAAAGAAAGATCTAAACAAGGGCATATTGCCATGGTGGAGAGAAGAGTTCGAAGGAACCCAAACTACTGGGTTCTTAAATCCTTATCTTCAACCTCTAAATCCTTTCATTTTCTCTCCCCTTCCCCAACACCAAATCTGGGTTCCTTTGCAGGTTCCCACTTGCTCAACTTCATACTCTGTGTGCCGGTGAAACTGATGATGAAGAGGAAGATGAGGCTGCAGATGATTAGGATGAGGATGGAGGTGAGGAGGAAGATGGATCTAGTGAGGACGGTGAACAACAAGAAGGAGAAAGGAAAGGAAAGGAGAGAGAGAGAGAAAGAAGGGACTGGGCTAGGTATGTTTGGAGTTAACGGAAAGTAACAAGGAGAGTGACTGTGTGTAATGTAGTGTGTAACGGAAGATGGTGTTTCCATTGTCAAAATTTTGTAAGTGTGATGCATAAAACTTATATGTAGGGAATCCTATCTCTTTAGTTTATTGTTATGTTTTACAAAACTCCATTTTGAATTTAGAAAACTGTTATATGGAAGTGGGAACTGTTAATATCAGTGAAAGTGGGAAAAATTAGTATTAATGGCACATTAGGATAAGAGTGTTTACGGACTATGATCAGCTCATGAATTCATTCTATAAGAACAAAATGTGACGCATACTGGAGTAAATTCTTGATTTTGTTATAAGATTAGTGACTAAGAAATGTAACTGCATTATTTAATCATGCCAAGATTTGTTGTTTTTATTCATGGCTAATAATCGAATCTCATATCAGCTAGGGAAAATTATGCATTCCTCCTGTTGTAGGAATAAAAGGTATGCCCTTTTTATTATCATTTTTGCGCTTGAGGCGATGACGCAGCTATTGAGGTTCTAACTGAGGCGCGTCTGTTGCTGGTTGAAAACTATTTCCAAACCCCCTCTTAGGCTTGGGCAAGTCTCGGGCCTTAGAGAATGAAAACTGAACTCTTTTTGAGAAAAGCAGGCTATTCATTCCATCATGTACACCGGCTGAAGTACAATAGGCATATCCTTCACTAAAAGGGATATTAACAGATAATGGGGTATATGTGCCAGCGTTCGCACTGCCCCTTTACAATTTTAAGTCTAAGATTTAAAAATTTATGAGACAACCTTCTGAATTTGGGTTTACTTAGCAATGATCATCGTATTGCTGGCCAAAATGGGAAAGCAATATATTCTTAAGCCAGTGAAATTGTACTTGACAGATTTACCTTGGCTTGGCTGTGTTATACAATTTCAATCATTCAACTAATTTTGAGAAATTTGAAGATCAATCAAATTGGAAGATGGACATCGTAAAAATAATAAAATTCGCCTAATTTGTGGTGGTAGGGAACCTGCATTCGCAGGCTCTAACCACTGATGGGAATTGTGAAGCTTTTGTCAAACAAAAACTGATAATACATTAATATGTTAATGGGTCTGTTAATTGTTGCATTATTATGGACAAATAATGGGTTTTTCTTATACACGGTAGGCCTTCCGCAATGTATGATTAGGATATCGTACCTGCTCCCAACGACTGAGGCCAAGAACTCAATCCCACATACCAAGAAGGGAATAAAGGCAGAAGTTCCTAAGATCTAGCATAAGATGTGTGGCATCAACACTGTTAATTAACACGCAACCATGTGGTAAAAAGCACAAAGAGAACACTATTCTTTCGCCTTTTACTAAAGAATACCCTTTTGGAGAGCTTTCCTCCTAAGGATGGGCTGTATACTACGGATTTTTACGGTTGTTGGGTTTCACAAATCTTAGCGTCAGTTTCTAATAACCAAGAAAAGCTACAAACATATTTAAGTAAGAACTATTTAATTAAGAACTCGTGAGAAACCTTCGAATAAATTTAACTAAGAATTGGTGGGGTGCGCCTGGCCTTTGCTATAGTGCAACGCAAGGGCGACGCTCGAGGATCCCAGTAGCAAGCTACTATGGAGAATCCTCCCCCTAAAAAAATTAATTTAATATCATGTGAGTCATTGACTCACGTATCAGATATTAAACTGATAAGAACAGATACTACACTTGATCTTAGCCAAAAGGCCGAGAAAGGTATGCTTTGTTAGAGTTTCAGAGTTTGCTTTTATAACGTACCTTCAAGTCGCTCATTTCTATATTTTCTATATGGGACATAAACACTTTGTCCATAACATCACTAACTGGTCCCCGCTAGACAATTCATCCTTTACTTGTGGAGGTGATTCATGGCTACTCCCTCAGCATTTTTCTACTTATCCTAGGAACTTAGTTTGATTTTTAAATGACGTTTGATTTAATCAATTTATTTAGCAAATGAATGACAATTGATAAAAATAAATCTGCTCATAAGTAAATTTTGCGTAGGAACTTCCTTTAAATCAAATAATTCTTTCAATTGTATTTTTCTAATCAAATTGTCATTAATTTACTCCATAAAGATATCAAGTTAATTATTAATTTATATAAAAACGAGGGATAAGGAAAACTAAAGAAAGATCAAACGGAGCATTTAAGAACTGTTTAGAACACAGCTGTTTGTTATTGGGTTAACAAAATCTCAGACATAAGGCGCAAAATATGGCGTCGTGGAAGGAAAACGCAGAAGGAAAACGCACAAGAAAAGAGAGCAAAAGGCATTTATGTGCAATGAAATTGACTAGCGCCCGAAAGGAATCATTATTCCAGATCTTAGATGTGGATTAGAATTCGTTGAGTGGCAGGACAACTACAAGAAATTAACCAAGCTCTGGCAAAACAGCGTACACTGACAAGATGTGCATTTTCCCCAGCGTATGACCTGCCTTGGGCCACAAAAAGTGTTCTTGGGGGTTCCACTCATAACGAGAGCCGACTCTAATGCAGGCAGTTGGAATCTTTTGACTTACAAATTGGTAGGGGCTGCGCGAACGCAAGCCCCCTCTACCACAAATTATGACGTAGGCTCTCCCACTTGGGGAGACCTTAGGCAAGTGCACCTTCAAAGTGCAATGAAGGCCACTTTCCTAGGCCATGGACCTTTTTGATCGCCCATTGACCCCGTCCAGGTAAGTATGTTGTTATGTTGGGCCAAGCCAATTTTTATATCTCTATCTGGCTTTTCTGTTTTATACCTAATTGATGTGGGATAAGAAAAGTCAATAAGAAAAGTCGAAAGAGAGCGAGTTCCCTTCATGTATATGTTCAAATAAACTCACCTAAGAGATTTTGCGAATACAATTGAGTTCAAGAGATTTTGCTCAATTTAAAGGTGAGTAGTTCGTCTTTTAATTAGGCAATTTTAAAACCATCAATTTAAAGGTAAGCAGGACGATTAAAACACTATTTGACTAACAATTGTAGGGCTTTACCCCAAAGGGAGCCCTTTCAGAAATTCTCTCAGGCCTGAGACTAACCCAGGCCTAAGAGGGGGTTTGGAAATAGTTTTCAACCAGCAATAGACGCGCCTCGGTTAGAACCTCACTAGCTGCGTCATTGCCCCAAGCGCAAAGACAGCTTCAATATCAAACAGGTTTATATTTTATGGTCTATTGAAAAGTTTTCGTTGTCTCTACGGTCGCTGTGGGACTCAACTACTTAAAAAATGAATGTACCAAAAAAGACATTATTTTTTAAATATTTTATATACAAAAGAAAAAGCATTATGCATTTTATATTTTACATAGAAAAAAATGTCATATAATTTAAATTGTATAACATTAACTATTAAATAAAAGTAAATATTTTATTATTGGGTTTTTTTCTCATTCAATAACTCTTATTTTGCTATCTAAATTATAAATATGACACTTTTTTAAAAAAATAAATTAAAATAAAGGTAAATTAAAGAACAAAATAATTGGATTTTATTTATTTATTTATTTATTTTTTGTTTTGTGTAATACATCATTTTGAATGTGGAAAGCATAACTAACAGGCATATTTGGAAGGCGCAAAGGGGAGCGATTCCACAGAGAAAGAGAGACCAGAGAGATGGCAACAACGCCAACGAACAGAGCAGAAAGGAGAAGGAAAATCGTAGAGAGAGGTTCAGATCGCCTTGCTCTCATCACTGGCAGAATCCACAACCTGCCCTCATCACCTTCCTCACCTCTGGATCACCATGACTTGTTCTCTCGCGATCAACAGACCCCACGATCATATCTCAACGGTAACAATTTATTTATTCATCGTAATGTAACTGCATTAATCAATGTCATATATATACATAATACAGCTATAACCATCTTAAGAAATGTCGAGGTTTTAAAAAATGTGACATTGAATCGCCTTTTTGATGTTGGTGTGTAATCAAAATTTTATCTTTGATGTTCGTTAGTTATCCCAAAAAAGAAAGAAATATATATTGTTTTTGATTCATTGTGATTGCATATTTTAAAGCAGTACTCAAAATCAATTTCCTAGGGTATGCATTATGCTACATTACATGACTTCTAGTCTTGTAGAATAGAAACAATTATCAAACATTTCTTAATTAAAACCTTTTGTTTTCCCCTAGATACGAATAATTAAGCAATTGAGGATCTAAGGGTTGGATTGTTAGGTAAGTAATTGTAGGAAAAGCTCACCCGATACACCTTGACCACATCCTGAATATCAAAACCGAAAAGGAAAAATGTCATTGGTGCTTCCATTTTAACATGAAAAATTATTGATATACACTCGATTCAACACATTTTTTAACACACTCTTAGCTTAATCATTAAAAATATAATATAAATATAGTCATTTCAACCGATTCATATATCTGTGTGCATAATTATATTGTTAAACTTGTTTGCCTTTAATTTTAAAATAAAAAAATAGTGATATTTATAATAAGTTTGTCAGGCAATGTATTGAATTGGAGTGTGTACCAATCATTTTCCTATTAACATATATATGTCACTATATTTTGAGATGTGAAAAGCCAAACATGTGTATATTCTATCTGGGGAGCATCCTTATTTTGTTTAGTGGGGTTAATTTGCAGTTGGGGAACTTGGTGAAGCTTCTCGTTCATCCTTATTTCTTAGACGTCAAGCTAGCTATGAAGCTCCAAAGGGAAGCACCTTTGATGTTGGAGTCAAGACTGAACCAAGTAAAGTATTGAATAAATCTGAGTCTGTGAAAGAAATAATCTCTGTTCCTTCCGAGGGGGAAATTAGGACAAGATTACAACCATTGCAGGTGAAAACAGAAATCCAGAAGGTATCACATGATCCTAAGCCAATTGAAAAAACAATTAAGTACCAGCCTAGATTATTCTCTTCTCAGCGACTGAATCACTGCATTATTGCTTCCGAAGGACTGCGCAGCTTCTGTGCCTTCTTGGTAGCACTTATGGTTGTTCTGTCTTACATTTCTTATCCACTGTTTGGAGGAAATATTGCCAACTCAGAGAGTATTGTAGTCTCAAGACCTGTTTACATTCTCCTGTTAACTGATATCACGATTGTGCTTGCACATATGTATGTTGACAAGAAAGGAGATTTTGAGGAGGTTGAGGAAGAAAAGGTAGTGCAGAATGATGGAGATAACTGGACAGAAGCAGTTAAGTTTATGGAGAGGGGATTAGTTTTCTACCAGACAATCCGAGCACTTTTCATAGATTTCAGTATTTATTCAGTGGTGGTAATCTGTGGCCTTTCTTTCATCTAGTCCTTCCCTTGCCAGATGAAATACCATTTTTGGTTCTTTCCCCGTCTCTAATCTGTCAATTCTAGAAATTCATTCATTTTTCAGCACTGCTAGGATCAAATCCCCTGTTGCTCCTATTTCTTCCTAATAATCCCTTTTTGTTATAAGTGAGAATAAAAAGGCCTAATTTCAGAAGGCGGAATTCATTTAAGTAAGTTAGCTCTTCTGTTTTCCAGATGCATTTATAATTTGAATGGTACTTTGAATTATGTATCTTTCATCCTTATGTCATGAATAACAGAGCATTTTTTTTTTCCCTTTTGGTGCTAATTTTAATTTAACAGAGTCAAAATCAATAAGACAGTCTAGTTGCTGTGGGTGGCTGCTTTTTCTTGCTCATGATCATATATTCCAATTTGTGGGCTCCAGCCTCTATCCTGAAGAGCTCTGTCATAAATGTTTCTGGAGAAGTTCTGGAGCTAGGAGGTTTAATTATAAATGCATCAACTAATTGATAAGAAAAACACAGGCACAGACTCTCATTTCATTATCAGGGTTCAATTCATATCTGCAAACTTAAAATCCCTAATTAGTTTAAGAAATGCTAAACTCTGAAAGCTAACCAATCTAAATTTCCTTATATACCAAAAAAAACAGAAGACTAGGGAGTTTAGGACATGACCCAACTACTTCTTGAAGCATCTCTGGTGTGGTGAGACAACTGGATCCTAGTGTAAGAAGATTGGTTGCATCATGACATCTTACGTACTAAGAACCTCACACAACACAAAGGCGTTAGAAAGATAAATGGCAAAATTTGGGAATTATATGAAAAGGACTTAATCAAAGAGAATAGCTATAAGATCCAAAGAACAGAAGAAATTTTTATTAGGATAATCAAATATCAGAAACTATATTATTATAGCAGCTAATTTATTCATAAACAAAAGGAAAAAGAAAAAAATAATAATAAACAAAAAAGAAGAAGAAAGAAACAAAGATGGGAAACACCAATTTGTTTCTGATAGTTCTAGCTTCAAACTGTTAATCCACCGTTGTCAAAAATCCTGGAAGGAACAGCAAACCTAGCAGAGAAAGACCGGGAAATGTCTTCAGGATCTGACATCAAGCCTTGATCGAAATTCTTGGCGTATGTGTAAGGATCATAAGAAACGTGCAATCTGCTGGTTGATGAACAATTGAGGATTTTCTTCTTCTCCCTCTTCAGCTTTCTCCAGAGAATTGTCCACCAAGGAAGCTTTGATCTGCACAACACCAGGGTGTTGTTTACGGAAATAATCCGGTTGTAGTGGCCGGTACTAGGATTTGGACGGCATTTGCTCCACCGGAAACTATGACTACTGCCTGAACTGCACCAGCATTTGTCAAGTTCCATGGTGGAAAGAGAAGATTGGAATTATAAAAATGATTCTAAATCAGCAGAAAATACAAGTGCAAGGTACGGGATCAGAGTTATTTATATACAGAGGAGAGATAAGGTCTCAAAGTCAAAATACTATGATGCCAAAGGGATGGCATGGTTTACAAGCTTTAATGCTGGAGACATGTACAAATAATTAAATCTCACAAACATATGCTACAAAGAAAGTACACTGCGTAGACTTGATTGATTGTTTTCACTAGATAGGCTATGTGATTTACTTTTATAAGGAAAATTTGTGTTATGTCACACGTTGTTAATTATAATTAAAATTTTAGAGGAAAATGGATGATATAGTTTATCAAGAATTCTCAAAATGATCTCTGCATTAACAACCTCTCCGATTGAATTGGGCGCAAAAATTGACTTAGAGTACCAAGAAATGCTTTAAAAGAGACAAATGTAGCATGATGCCTTAATTAAAGAACATTTTCAAAAACAGACTAAATAAATTAGACCATAAGAAAAGGTGAACATACGTGTATTTCAAGGATGTTTATATTGCAGCCTGCCACATCCAGCTGGTATTGAGTGCTGGAAATCATATTGTATAAGAATAAAAGCACAATTATTTAAGTAATTTTAGGTATACTCTTAAAATTAGCATAGGATTCTACAGGGGCAGTTGCTCTTATACCGTCCACAATTTATTATTATTATGTAGAATGTGTGGACCCTTCCATGCATGTTTACAAGTCACATTAATTGACACTGACAGTATATTGAATTATGGGGTCAATTGGCATTACTGTGTTTGGTAACCCCAGCTTGGTAACCCCAGCTTCCACCATTAAATAATTTTTCATTGCTTTTACTGCATTTTCAATAAAAATGTTAGTTAAACGGTTACACACTTTTCTGCAATATAAAACCCAGTGGGTGAATGCATTATGCATATGCCTTCTAATTCATTGTCTGATTCCTTACCTAATAGTGGTTTTTTAATTTGTATTATCATTTTTGTTTTTTTGCTACAAATAATATATGTGAACCAGTAATTTTTTTTTTTTTTTTGGGTGCTTCTTAGTTTGTTTATTTCTTTGGCACAATATTCTTTAGTTAAAAAATTGAGGAGAGCATCAAATTGATACTCAAACTTAAGTAATGGAGGCTGTGGTGGGCTAATTATTATGGGAATGGAATTGATTGTTAAAAAATATTAAACAAATGTTGTTTTGTACATCATATTTATACATCAAATTTTGAAATCATCATTGAAAAAATTTTAATTTTTTTTAAATGCATTATATGAATGCAAGGGTTGAATGCACCATATGAATGCCAGGGCACAATCTAGAGATTAGTTAGAAAGAGATCAGTCTCAAATATCTCCTTGTTTAAAAAAGGAAAAATGAAAAAAGTAAGAGGAAGAAAACATAGTCTGTGACTCTGCGGCAAGAGGGATGACAATAATAACTAATGTTAGGTAAGGAAAACGATAACTCATCATGATGGTGATGATTAGTTTGGTCAGCTGAAATTGTGAGATAATAGATAACAGAGTAGGCAATACAAGTAATTTTAAGATGGTGGTGCCAGTGCTACATTGATCATTTTGGGAGTGGCACCTACTTAGTGACCTTAGCAATGGTGAGACAATGACATTACCCAACAAAAGAGTACTTGAAAAAGTTAAGTTATTGTTTCTCTTTTTGCCTCACCCTGCAAGGGTGTTGTCGTTGATGGGTAGAGCCATAAAACGTTCTTGGCCCCACGCCATCGTTATGCGCTAATCCACAAAAGATAGCCAGGTGTATAGGAATAAAAATCTCCAACTACTAGCAATTGTACAGAATGTGTATGAACTAAAAACTGAGTTTGGATCAAAGAGGAACATGGATGCAACAGATTATATAACCATCTTTATTTCATATTGCAGGAAGCAATGTCACCAAGAACATACAACCGTTTTGTACAAACATATGAGTTTTTCATAAATGGATACTGGGTTTTTTTTTTTATTTTTTCAAATACATGATCATGATAAATAAGAAAAATTATAATATCTATAATTCTATATGCTGCACATTTTTTGAACATATATATTCTGTTCTGAAGAAGCATATTCAAATATTTACATACATGGTCCACGGACCGATGTTCTGCTGAATCTTTCAGCTCTGCTGCATCTCATTCAATTCAGTACCTTCAAGGCTTCAGATTCATCTCTGACTATGTAAACAAATTGAGGTTAGCAAAGCAGAGGATTGATGCAATTTTCATTTTATAAGGAACAAATATGATCAATAAATTGTCGATAGCAATCCAGATTCATATCAAATGAACAGATCTCCTAAACGAAAAACTCTTAGATTCATCATGTAGTTTAAAATCATAATGGAAGCAACATATGTACCGGATGCTTCCTTACCTTAGGGTAACAATTCTGGCGCATGATAGACTGAGTGTTCCTATTTACCAAAATCTCGCAGTATACTTTTGCCTGTTAAATAATCACAAAGAAGAAGCTTCACAGTCATGAGATGATAATCCTGTTGAAAAACATAACTAAGATGATTACATTTTGGCAAAGATGAGACACTTCCTACGACTAAATATATATACCACAAAATGGTTTGATGATCTAGAGCATCCAGCATTACCAAAATCCTTTATGATAAACAAAATTTGCAGTCTCATTGACTAGAATTCTATCACCGTTTTGTTTTCAAGCCAAAGAATTGGCGCTGACAAGCCAGTAACCATAATCCTATTACTACATCAGGTTGAAATTGACAAGCGACTTAAATCTTTTATCATAGATGTTTGAATTGCTAACTTTGACTCTTAACACTAAGGTTTTGAAGTTAGTATACATATCAACCAAGCTAATATCATTTTGCTGCAGCTCAAATCTAATTGATTCCATACCTTTGAGCTGCTCCTGGTAATTCAATGACACTACTGCTTGCTTCAAAATTGTTTCAATATCAAATATGTAGCTTGACTTCCTACCTATATCATGAAAGTCTAACATTGCCAATAGAATTGTTCTGTCCCAAGCACCACATTTTGCCATTGATTTTTCTTTTCTCTACCAATTCCCAAAAGCTACAGTAACTTGGGCCCATTTTCATAGAAAATTGATTTGTCATTATATGGCAACAACCAACCTTTAAAGCCAACCTTAAAAGCATGGTTCAGCTTGGAGGTAATTTCAAAAAGCTACCAAGACCAACACCTCTTATTACTTGAATAAGAAGCTGCCTTGAATGCCAAGATTATTAACTGAAGAGTTTCCTTTAAGTTTAATCCTCAATATAACTATATTAAGAGCTTTTGTAAAAAACATGAATGATGAATTATGATAACATTTACCAAACCTATTAGTTTAGCCGCAAAAATCTATTTCAAAAGTATTTGTAGCTTCATCTCCTAGTCCATTTTTTATAGTCCTCTAGAAGGTGATTTAACTTATAAAAAGGTCAGAAAGAAAGAAAGAAAGAAGAAGGTGATTTAACTTATAAAAAGGTCAGAAAGAAAGAAAATTGGACTAACTTCAACTTTTACAATTGGTGACACTGAACATAAACTTAGGGGTGTCTAGTACGGATGTTTGGGGTTAGTGGTTTGGGCAAACTAATCGACATATAAAAATATATAGATTATAAACAATAATAATCACCATCAATTATAGACTATTAGCTATCCACTACATTTAAACCAACATCCAAACCCCAACATTTCTACTAAATTAATGATGAATACTGTGTAACTGAGGTTATTGCCATCAAAACTTTTGTTAAAAGGAGCAATTTAATTATAATTCTATCAATTTATAATTTTTTTAAACAATTATGATATTTAGAAATATTTATTTATAAATTAATTTTAATTTATTATATAATAAATATTAACTGTATTATTTATTATAAAATGTTTTCAATAATCAAATTAAGATAAAAATTTAACAACTTTTAATACCCTTCACAAATTTAATATTGGTCGCAACCATATCCATACTAAGCTAAGTTAACAAAAAGAATGTACACAAAATAAAGCTGAAAAAAGAAACTAAGTTAACAAAAAGAATGTACCCAAAATAAAGCTGAAAAAAGACAAAACACTTTGATTTTAATTCGTACCTTTAAAGGAAACTTAAGGAAGAACAGTCCAATCTGGCCGGTGACCTCTGTCACGGTATCAAACGGCACAATACCCTTAGCCAAATCCTCGAGCATGAACACCACGTCAGATAACACCTCAACGCCGTTGAAATCAAGCTCAGCGTCCACGTAGGACGACCCTTGCGCCCTGACGTGACCGTGGTTCGACCTCACGTGCCCCAGCCTCTTCCCTCTGTACCCCACCGCCACGTCCAGCGTTGTGTAATCCATGGAGTACAAATCGGCGTTGTGCACCTTCAGCGTCACCAGTAGCGAAATATCTACGGAGATGACCGGTATGGTGTGAACTTGCATTCGGTTTATGTGCATCCGTACAATCTTGACTTGGGGATCGGACGGCCAGAAGAGGTACGACAGCGCTGCTAGCATGAGTAACGAGAAGATGCAGATTAAGGGTAGACGGCGGTGGCGGTTCTCAGGGCGGTAAAGGGGGAGGAGGATGAAGGTCTGATCGGGAGGTTGGGGTGGTAAAGGAGTGTAATAGTGGGAGTGCGTCGGAGGAGGAGGAGGTGGCGGCGGTGGGGGGTGGTGTTTGGAGGGAGCCATAATTGGGGAGGATGGAGGTGAAGTGTTGGCAACTTGATGTAGCGTACTAGCGGGGAAAGTGTATGCTAAGAGGAAGGTGGGTGTTTTGTCTTCTTGCTCTTTATTGGGTTTGTTGTTGTGTGGGGAAATTATTGGAGAAAGTATTTTATTGACTTCTTTATTCATTAGAAAGTTGTCTTCTTTATTCCAAGCGAACGACACTTTCCCAATTAGCAATTTGAGCTTTAAGCTACTGCTTTTTCTTTTGAAAACGCGAGGAAGGACGGAGGACAGTATGAATGACAACGCCTTTATGCATCTTACATTTCAATTTGATTGTCTAGAGAGTCCAATCTTAGAAAAATTTTGAAGTAAGTTTCATCTTGTGTTTGAGAATTTTTTAGTGTGATTACATAACCATGGTCCTTAAAATGGCTTCACAATCACATATCCACCCCTAAAAGATGTGATTGTTACATCTAAAGCTTCACATCCACATCAAAGGGGCTGTGGTTTGGTGGTCCGGATTGAACTCAGTGGCTACAATTGGATTGGCAAATTTCTTTAATTTATTTTTTATTAAGTTTAAACTTCTAATTAATGATGGCCTAAGTTGTGTAGGAGCCCCAAGAATAACTACCAGTCAAAAGCTGCTTCATTTCAAGCACTCTCTCTCAAACCTACCATTCTTTCTCCTCTTTCTTGAAGAATCAAACATGGGTTTCCTTCCTACAATTGATTTTCTAACTTCTCTTACCAAAACTTTCTATCCTTTTATCTTTTTCTCTGGAGTTTCTTGTCTTCAACCTTCTGCAATTTGATCTGGTACAATGGCAAGGCCTGGAAACAGGATCATACAAGCCAAGCTGGTGGGTATGTCTTACCCTTTTCTTTTTTAGTTACGTCATTTCTTTTTCTTCCTCTTAACCCTGAGAAAATTCATCCATGGGTTAAAAGGCTAAAGCTGTCGATCTTGAAAAAAGATTGGATTTTTCTTTCAGCTCCCTGGTATAATCTATGTGCAAAATTGGGTGTGATAGCTTGAGAAAAGAAGACTGGAGATGGAGTAATTTCTTGTAATCTAGCCTATATTAAGAAACTTGTATGATACAATATTGCCCTCTTAAGATGTCCTATCGAGAGTGCAATTTGTTGCTGCAAATAATTTGTGGCAAATTGGGATATTACCTGGTGATTGAATGAATTTATTGACTTTTTTGAATGAGGCTACTGAATATAATTGGTGCTTTCAGATCAACCCTTTTGCCACATGAGATATGAACATGACCTCTGGAGATTGCCATTTAAATATTGCATAGTTGCATAATGATGTTCTTACTTAGTAATTGAATTTGCCATTTTGTTGCTGCCATGTTCATGATTTGTTGAGAAGAAGCATTTGCCATTTTTTCCCAATGCAATTTTCATGTATATAAATTTTAATCCATCAAGAGACTGTATTTGATGAGTGCTACAAAATGTTTGAAGAAAGTAAAATCTTTGGAGGAATAACCTAGAGACATTTTCTTTGAAGGTGCTTCTAGGAGACATGGGAACTGGGAAAACCAGTTTGGCACTAAGGCTTGTCAAAGGCCAGTTTTATGATAACCAGGTTTATTTTCATCTCTTATTCCCTCTATTTGTTCATTGCTTCTCTCAGTATTCTTTATGTGTTTGTTATAATTAAGGACTCTCAAACTTTTGTATTAGCAGGAACCAACTATTGGAGCAGCCTTTTTCACTCAGATACTATCTTTAACTGAAGCCACTGTAAAATTTGATATATGGGATACAGCAGGTCAAGAAAGATACCATAGCTTGGCTCCTATGTATTATCGTGGTGCAGCAGCAGCCGTTGTTGTGTATGATATTTCAAGCAAGGTAACTAGTGATTGATACCATAAACAATTTATTTACAAGCATGCAACAATTGATTATTAAACTTTATCAGGAATACCACTATCATCAATTTGCATCTTAACTGATTTGACTATACAATGATTGCAAATTCTATTATTTGACACATAAATTTGTATATAAGCTGGTGCTTGTATCTACATTATGCTTCTTGTTCTGAATCTGGCAGGAAATGTCTAAATAGGCATGTCTACTTTGAATTTATTTACTTACCATGCTATAGCCATGTTACATTTTCCATGTAGCTTTCTTTATTAAAACTGATTCCGTGTATCTTTCATCTGTTCATGTCTTTAAGTACTTAAATTTAGTAATTTTATGCACCTGGCCATTTTGCTTCAGGATACACTTGTACGGGCCAAAAAGTGGGTTCAAGAACTGCAAAGACAAGGTGAGTACATCAATATGAAAATAGTTCTGTCATTCTTTTTGTTTCTCTCTCACTCATATATTTGATATTTGACATATAAAAAAATCAGAACTATGTTTGAAATCTACTTATAACTAAGTTATATTAGAAACTAAATATTTGGACTTTTTGAAGTTTCTTTTGATTTAGCATGATGACTAGTTAGCCATGAATCCACAACTAATTTTGTGAGATATGAATGTAATATCGCTAGGAAATCCCAATATAATCATGGCGTTGGTGGCAAACAAGTCTGATTTAGACTCAAAGAGAGAGGTGGAGAATGAGGTATTTGCAAACCTTTCTCTGTTTTACTTTTCCTTAAGTAGCAAAATTACTTGAAAATCTAATATTCTATTATTAAGAGAAACAATTATCATTGCTAGCAAAAAGCTATTTAGTAACCCAACTAGCAAATATGCCTTCCAGGCTTGGAACACTTCCTAGCTTTTCTTTCTATACTGAATCTGCATATTTCAGTGTCTCAAGAAATAAAAACTCTATCTGTTTTATGCCTAATTGCTATGTTTTGAAAGTCAGATTTGGATACTCTATATTCTGAAGTTGCCTAGTTAAAATTCAGGTTCCACTTTCCCTCCCCCTCATTTTCTTTTCTATGCAGGAAGGAGAGCAATTTGCTCAGGAGAATGGAATGTTTTTCATTGAAACATCTGCGAAGACTGCACAGAATGTCAATGAGCTTTTCTATGAAATAGGTAATCTATTTCACCATATTTGTCTTGGTAAAACAAAGTCATTACATTCATTTAATGCTGTGAACAGTTTGATCTTGGATCTGACACAAGTAAATCAAAGTACATTAGTGTATAATGTCATTCTGGTGCAACCTCATGCCAGCCACCAGGAATGAGCTGTTTTAGCCATTTGATAATGTCATTTTAATGCAACTACATACCAGCTACCAGTTATTGACAGTTGTAGCCAATAAATATGTGCTTTTTTCAACTACTTTACTTTCACAACCTAGAAAACATGCATACAAGGACTAGAATTCTACGGTTAGGAGAAGATTAAAGATGGAGCATCTCCCTTTTCTTATTCGTAACTTACATTGTATACACAGAAGGCTTGAAGGTTTTAAACCCTTTTTTTTATTATTATCTTCCTTTTCTTTGGTAAACTAATTCTTGCATACTTGGATGGGAACTTCCTTATATCCTGTTTGCAGCTAAGAGATTAGCCAAAGCTTGCCCTCCAAAGCCTTCAGGGATACATCTAAATGATGAAACAGAAGGTAGAAGAAGAAAGCTCTTTTGTTGCCTGGGGTGAAAGTCATATACTCATACTGTCTTAATGTGTGGAGTTCAAAGGTTAGGGAATATTCTTTGCCCTCTTGACAATGTGTAACAGATGCGCTGCTTTCCGGATCCATTCCTTTTCTACCAGAGTTCTTGCTATCACCTATCAAATGTTGGATTGTCAATTTAATTCTTATTTGTACGAATTACTACAGTAATTGTAAAGAAATTGTTGCCCTGATATGGGGACTACTAAAATGATCAAACATGCAAACTTGTCAATACAGTGATTGTATATATGGTCTGTAAATTCTGTTGCTGTGTATACATGCATGTTGTCTGGTTTCAAAAGGATCAACGACATTGCAGGTCTTTGTAATCTTTCCAAATTCCAGCCGTTAAAATTAATCCATTTTCTTGGCCAAACCTGAATTTGGCTAAAACAATTATAGAGTTATAAGCAGATGCCAACATGCATGGCTTCAAGAATATCAGAATAATCATAATTTATATTTGTGAGATCACACATGACCATAAATGTTGTAATAATATATGGTTTTCTATGTTTGTCATACACTAACCTATTTCACAAGTTTGTGCATGCAAATAAAATTACATATGAACCAAACAAGTGTTTTTCAAAACAGGTTGTACATTAAAAATACAATCTGTCTTATAAATTTACTTAAGTATCTTTAATCAAATTATTTTTTTATATTATTTTATTAAAGATATTTAAGTAAATTTATAAGACAATCTACATTTTTAATGTACAACCTGCTATGAAAAACTTAAATACCTTTCACAAATACATAAAACACTCAAACGGAGCTCTGACTTGGCGACCTGTGATCTGATATGCTCCTTAAGTCACTGTACATATGTGAAAAGGCAAGCGCAGTGTTTGACATTGCCCAAGAGAGCTCTGGCAAGCGTGTTCTAAGACTTGCCAAAGACTTCTGTCGTACCTGGATGCAGATCCTCTGGTAGGCCTCCTCCTCTTCCTCTAAAGTCTTCTTCACTGCTTCCACTGCTAACTGCCTCTCAGCAACAGCATCAGTGTGAGTGTTATCTTCTGTCCTCTCTGGATCTAACTCCTCTGGTGCTCTCCGTTGCACGTATTTGTTATACCAGTCTTCAAATTGTTGTGTCTTCCTGTTAAGCTCTTTACGAGTTTCTTCACATTTTCTTTTTTGTTTAATTTCCTCTTCTTGATGATGCTTGATATCATTCACCACAGCAGCAAAGCTGGAGATGGTAGTTCGTGCAACACCATCTTCAAGTTTATTCAGGTGATCATGCCAGGCAAGAAGGAGGTTCTGAATGGGGGGCCTTTGAACCCTTGGGGGAGAGGAAACCTTCTCTCTTAAGTTGCTTTCAATTGGAATGAGATTTAGCTTTAACCAATCGTTTAGAGCTTTTATGTAATCTTTCTGATTGTCTACAAGCTTACAGAACTGTGAGTGCCACTCCTTCACAACTCCCCAAAGCAGGTTAGTACGATCATGGTGGTGCTCACTGGTTTCTTTTGAGGACTCAGAGGGATCCAGATATCTCAAGTCTGTTACAGTCTTAGCCTGCCTGTCATGGTGAACTTTCATAGTTTTCCACATTGTGGTCATCCTACAATCAAAGCAACATAACAGCACATATCACCCAGGATTCAAGAAAGAAGGGAAAAAAATCAGAGTTCAACTAAATTTTTTTCAGTGAAGTAAAGCATCATGGTTTAAGGCAGGCACAATGTAACAATGTTTCAACTATGACTAAGAACAACATAAGTGGAGTATACTAGTAACATTAAGCTACAACCCTCCAGGGAAACAATGCAGAATAATATGAGGTTTTCATAAAGAATGATTGGACACAATGAGGATATCACATGGATAAGTTTCACCATAAAGATTGCACAAGGATAAACACACTATAAAAACAATAGGAGGCAGGATCAACTTAATAATGGAATGACGTGTGAAACTGAAATTGGACACTCTTGGAAAGTAGAACTGATTATGATAAATCAAAATATTTTTTTAAATTTCTAAAATTATTTACAAATCATGTAGATATAGTGAAGAATCTGGTACTAACCCCACAGGCCACAACAGTGTCATACTAAAGATTGACATAATGCATAGAATCAAGACAATCCCACGTAATAGTAAAAATTATGCACAACACATTATGAAGACAACAGAGAAGGTTGTGTAAGGTAAAACACCACTGCCGTGCCTACAGAAGAGTTGTATTTAATTCAGCATATAAGATTAACTGCCAATTCCATGAAAGACAATGAAAAGGGAAAGCAGATTCACAATTGCTCAGCAATGCAATTTATTCTTTTCTTGAACACAAAACTTCAACCTACCCATCTACAAGCTGAACAAGTTTCGGATATAACTGTTCATCTCGCAAACGGTTTATCTCTGAAACTGTCGAGTCCAGGGATTGCATGTCAACAATATATCTTGTATGCAGATGGCTTAGTGCTGCTTTTGCTTTCTCTAGTGCTTCAGAGTTGGCACCTCGTTTCTTTAGTTTATTTAGTGTGGTGACCTTCCTTTGGTACTCAAATTTCATAAGTTCACCTGCCTGCCCTCAAATGCAAACCAAAATAAGATTCAAAAGTGTTTAATTGTGACTGCGTTTAGAGAGAGGAGAAAAAAGAAGAAGAAGAAGAAGAAGAAGAAGACAAAGACTGAATACTACAGGAAAAGAAAGATGAATGCAAACGCAGATAAGTATTGCCAAAAAAGTTACAGTTACATTTTAAGCAATCCCAATAATTTTTCCTGCTAAGCCAAATCCTATATTTCAAAAAATTAAGATAAGCCAATTGCTAAATACTATAAACCAGAGATGTTATTTCACCTAAAAGCAACCATGCGATCCAAATAAAGGGAATCACAAGACAAAATACAGCTAAATTTTAGTATCAATTGGGACTGGTGGCAGTCTCCCAAACAGTTGGTTTCATTAACATGTTTGAGTTGGACTTTGAGGTAACACTAAGAACCAGCATTGCCTTATTTCCCACACACGTTACTTCTACCAGGTATCTCAAGCAGAAGACAGTAGTTTCGAAAGGCACCCATCTTTTTTGACCACTCTTGAAGTCTACCTTCAATATGACACCTTACCCTCTCTGTGACACTTTTGAACACAACAAAGGTACCACAGAAAACCTGTTCCAACTACAATACATATCTTATCATATTCAAAAAATATTTAAGAGTACACAAGTTAAAGATAGATACAAAGGGCCTTGAGATCTTGTATGTCTAGTTGTCAACTAACAAGAGAAAGAAACTGTTTGTAGTTCTTACTAAAGATAAAACTGTATGTATTGCTAATTCATTTTGTCATGGGAAGAGTATCATACTGTCGGCCTTTCTAGATTTTGTGAACGAAGGGCAAGAAAGCCTCTGTAACAATTGTATTTTTTAAATTAAATAACAGTACTTGATTAATTCACACACAATGGAAAACAATTAAGTCAAAAAATTGTGGAACGATGAACAAGCAAAATCCTCTGACATACCTTCACTTCATCATAAAGCTTTTTTTCCCATGCAAGCAATTTATCCAATATAGTTGCATGAGTTTCATTCTCCTCTGAATCAAAATCATTATTCCCATCATCTTCATCCCCTAAACCTCTAAATGACCTATTCCAACTAATAACTCGCATCACTATCGCAGAATGGTCAATGTGCCCTGCAATCATAGAGCAATTTTATTCAAAAGCTCTCCAGGCTACATTTTATGGCATAAACTTGATGGTTTTTACATAATTATACTGAAATAAAGGAAAGAATCACAAAATTTCCATACCAATTGCTAACTCTGCTAAAATGAAAAACATTACCACGATTATCAGCGAAATTAGAGTGATAATGCAACCGTGTAGCCTCTAGCATTTTAGAAACCTCATGGGCACTCTCTGAGGCCTTCAAGAAATGATCATCAAGATCCTCAAAAATTTTCAACAAGTTAGTACTCCCTTTCGCCACCCTCTTTTCCCCTGCACTAGGCCCTGCCTTCCTCATTCCCTTAGCTGTCTCTGCCACAGCCTTCTCCATCATCTTATCCATCTCCACCGCTGCCGCCTTCTGTTCCACAACCACCTCCTCTCTCTTCTCCTCCTCTTCGACCACCTCCTTCCTCCTCTTGGTCATTTCTTCAAACACCTCCCTCTCCAATTCTCCCTTCTCCACCCTACCCTCCTCCACATCCGCCAAACTCGGCCTCGGCATGCTATCCACATCCGGAAAGAAATAATCCCCCCATGTCGACTGATGCTGTGAATGCGCCTGCACAGAACTCATCTCCACAACAGGCGGCACTGCTTTTTGCTCCTCCACCGCCTCCCTCCTACTCTCTCGGCTGCTTCCACTGCCACCACTCTTATAATTCCACGATTTCCGCGTTACCAACCGCTCATTACTCTCAATTTCACCATCCTCTTCTTCTTCTTCAATTGTAACAGTCATCTCACTCTGTTTCAACTTCTGCGGCAAATTGATCTCGGGCATACTAGCGGCGCGCGGAAGCAGCGACGCCGAGAACCCAGAAAGGGTCTCCATAGGGGGAGGCGGAGGTGGAAGTGGCTCCACAAAAGACTGCTGCGAAGACCCCACATCCAGAGTCCCTCCGGCCGCCCCCGACAATGCCGTATGGCTCAATTGGGTAGGATTCAGGACCTCACCCTGCGCATAGTCGCTGAGGGCAGCGCCGGTGTCCTTCAAGTACATGGCGTACGAGGAATGAGCCGCAGCAAAGGCATTGCGCGAGGCCACCGCATGTTTCATGAACTGCTTCCTGTCCTTACACCGGATGACGGCTTCTTCATTCTCAATCTTGGATTGGGTACAACCCATATCGGAAAAGGTCAATCGGAGAGGAAAGCAGTGAAATTTTAGTGGGAAATTGGCATGAATGAGTACAGTGGAAGCGGGTTTTTGTCTGCTTGCAGTGGCTTCGCCTTAGGGAAGAAGTTGATGGTGTGGACGTATCCTAGCATGGATAAAAATATAAAATGACAGGGAGCCAGGAAATCCTTTCATGATGACTGGGCAAACGCTGTCGTTTAATGTTAGGACTTAGGACGATGTCGCTTTCTTGTACAGAAAGTGTTGGGATTGTGTTTGACAGCTCTGCTTTGTCCGAATCCTAGTGGCGCGTGATGGTTTCGGATCTGTAAATGGAATAAATAAAGTAATAAAATAATTAGTCGTTTTCAACATTTCATAGCAAACATAAAAAATATACTAATAAATCATTAAAGTAAAAGAATTAGAAAAAAAAAATAAAAATAACAATTTTTTGATATTTAAAATATTAAAATTGATTATAAAATTATTTAAATATTTTTAATAAATTTTTTTATACATTCATTTATTCATATTAAGAGTATTTAATATTTTTATTATTTAATATTTTTGATATTTTAATTAATAAAATATCATAATTTTCTATAATTTCATAAAAAATTAATATATATATATATATATTTTGCATATGATAATTTATAAGCTTTACAAAGGAGGTAATTCTCCCCTTTCAAACCCTTTATCTAGTTAAAATTTGAATATGAAAATATGATGTTAAAATCTCAAGTTAATAATTGAGACAATATGAGAATCAAGGTAAAATATGCAAATTATCTTATAATATTTGAGTAAATGCAAATTAAGACTAAATAATAAAAAAAATCTCACCCTAAATTTTTATTTTAGAGTAATCGATTCATATATAATATTTTACGTAAACTTTTTCCTATACTCTCAGAGTAATAATCTAAAAAATAATTATTATTTTATTAAATTTAGACTAATATCTTTAAAATAAAATTTTAATGTGATAATTTACTTCACTTTTTTTTTTTTGTTTTCTAATTTACTTTAAAGTAAATATGTTGAAGAATAATTTACACCTTGAGTAAGATTGAATTAATCAATTCTACCTTTGTTGAGAAATGTAAATATATTTAAAAGAAATATTATATAATTTGTATTATTTTAAATTATAAAATATTAATCATCTAAAAAAAAAAGAATTCTTTAAAATTGAGAACTCTTTTTTTATTAGATAATTTTTATTTTATAATTTAAAATAATTTAAGTAGTAAAACATATATATATATATATTAAAAAGTGTAATTTAAATTAACACTTCACAGTTCACAGAATGGGGCGGTGAACAAAGAGTCTCTTTTGCAGTTTTACTTTTACAGGCACAAAGGCTGCTTTAAGGGTGGCGTCTACCACTTATCCAGATCCTTCTTTAGATTTAGCATGAACACCCACTGCTTCTTGTCAGGAACTGTCAGAATGTTTTTTTTTTTTAATTGCACAACTTACTCCCAATGATTTGAGAATTGAACCTCAAATTATAAAATATGCAATTAACTTTATTTGTTCTAAAAATAGTACATGTTAACCTTCCACATCATAAAAATAAAATTTTGATCCCTGTCTAGACAATATATATTTGACTTCAAGTGTTTTTATATTTCATTAATAAATTTGGGAGTTGAGTAGACATATTCTAATTGAATAATAACTTAAAAGGATGAAAATTTGAGACAAAAATTTAAGATTAAAAATATGATATAATTATATTATTAAATTAATTAATTCATATAATATTATAAATTTTAAAAAAAATAATTATTAAATAATATAAAATTTATTTTTTAATATTTTAAATAATATACTTTATATTACATTATTAATTTTAAATTTTAATCTTAAATTTTGATCTCATTTATCATTATTCATTCAAATTACATGAGATCAAGTGTACATTTTTTGTGCTTTGGTGAGTGAAGTATGGTCATCCCAAACTACATTAGCTACCTGGAATTTTCTTCTTTTAAAATTTTTTTTTCTAAATTGCCAAAATAGAAAAATCAAAGCAAACCGCTTAGCCATGGAATAATAATAATAATAAAACTGGGCCATAGCTTACAGAGGAAAGGTAAGAAATCTATCCATATTTTGCGGTGCGGTGCATTGCACGATTTGCATCAAAAGTGGCTTTGTTAACTGGTCCCCTTAGCTTTGGCGCAAGGGAAGGGATTGCATTTTGACTTTTGAGTCTTCGACATTTTCTTCGTAGGAATCTGTCCCATCTTCTCATGTTCAGACAACCAAGCAGAACTGCTCCTGCTCAGGCCCGAATAATTATTTGCATTAACATCCCCTGAATGATTGAAAAGCTTTTTGATCAATAATCAATCTTCCATGACTAGGTTTTTGATGAGATCAATGACTAGATTACAGAATAAAGATTATACAACATGAATCTAAATGACGAATGCAATGTTCTGAAGGCCTTGCCTTTACATGCACTCTATAAGCTGACTCTTGGAGTATGGTTTTTGTTTATTGCATCTAATCTGCCAAAGTTCAACGTCATTTCCTCTGTCATAATGCCTTACATATTGTGGGATTTCAGCAATATTCATGCGTTTGCCAATAAAACTAGGCAATAGTTCACACTTGAAACCCCCACATCCTGCATCAACCATTATGAAGACAATTATCAGCTAACGATACCTTGAGGGGAAGCTTGTGCACGCAGACAGATTTGGCATGGTAAGATGCTTACCTTTGTCCTCTTCCCGCAAATAACTTTTGAAGCGTGAATAACCATTTGCAACCACGTCAAGATCATTGAGACTGAAGTTGTAGCGCTTTTCTAATGCCAAGTATAATACCTGCAATTCAGGGGAAAGCAGATGCTTACATGATCTGCACATGAGCGACTTCATTGAACTATTACATAAAAAGAAAAAAAAAAAAAGGCATTGAAATTAAAAATACAACACATTTAGAAAATATCCTCCCCAGTGGTTAGTTAAGACAGTACATTGAATTTTTTATGGATATCTTGTACAAGATGGATCAGCCATTTGACCCATGACTGGTGCAATCAAGAGTCAACCAAAGTGTATGGGTAAATACTTTTAAGAACTGAGATCCCAACTTAAACCTGAGGCTAAGACCTGATAGCTGTAGCATTAACAGTCATCCATGCCTCCATTGTCTTAATCCTCGTCTAAATATTCCTTTTTTATGGCAATATCAATGATCAATGAAGATTCATTTGGCAGTAAATCCAAAAACATGTGGCATGTTGCTGGTGAAAAATATAGATTTTAACTTGTAATGATTGGAACATTATGATTTTTCATGATGATATATTAGCTACCCCATCTGTGGGATATTCCACCATAGTCACTGTTACCTTATCTGAGCCTACTGGCATTAATTGCTCTAAAATGCCAAATAACGCATCTGTCAGATCATCACTGTAAATAACATCAGCAGCTAAAAGTAGAGAAGCTCCCTGACATTCTTCAAGTTCAATGGAGGTCCAAGAATACCTGGATATTTCAATAAAAATTAGTCTCATTTCCAACATGAACAACTATTATGAAAAATATCACGATCATATGCTAGCTTGTCAACCAGTTTATAAGGGGAACCAAATATATCACCTATTTTGAGATGAGGGATCTAAGCTAACATTAGGAGGCCAAGGGCTCAACCAATCAAGTTCACGCACATAAATTGAAGCTTGACAACTCAATACTCCAGCATTAATTTCAACATTCTTTGAACAGTTATCCAGAACTTCGTCACCATGGTCTGTCAACAATTGTATTAACAATGCAAATAGTTGGAACAAGCTGCTACAAAAGGACAGTTTAAAAAGAAAAATGAATACCGTTCAGCTAAAGAAACAACCAACATTCACTATAGTTGGGCATTACCAGTTAGGAATATAGTCTTGGCGACACATGCAAGCAGCATACCTGCCAGCCCTGATTAAAACAGCAGATTACAAAAATTCTATCATACAAGATTCCATAATTTCATATGAAAGGCAGCTCAAAATTTAAAAAATAAAATGTGCTAGTATACACAGAAATCATAATTCAAAAGAAATCTATAGAGGTTCCATAGTCAGAAAATTCACCATTAAATCAATATTATTTCCTTAAACAAAAAAGAGAAATTTGGCAGAATTGCCCAGTCTTTGACTCTTTGCCACCATAAGAAAGTATTTATATCACAAAAGTTTCAAAAATCCACAATAAAGAAAATACAATTCTCAAAGTGTTCAGTGAACTGAGTAAATCTTTGGTCAATTTGATTCAAACCCAGTACCTAAACATCCAAAGCTGAACTAATTAATTAAAGAACAAGAACAGGCTTCAATGTCATGTTCACTGCTATAGTCACAAACAACTTAAAATATAATCTATGGAAACTATTAAGCACATTTAAGTTGAGATTTCCTCATTTTACATATTCACATGGCAGGAATATCTACGTAATAACCAAATATGCATATGGCCACCTGCCAATCTGTAACAATCAAAAATCAACTTCAATGGGAATACTCGTGCCATGTATCCACATTCAAATAGATTCCAAAAATAAATACAAACATGATATTCAGCTGTGACAGAAAATTTGATGTACCTGTGCCAGCACCAAGCTCTAACGCAACGATTCCATCGAACTCCACCGAAGTGCACACCTTATGCAACACAAAATCAGCCAGCAGCAGTTCAGCTTTCCACACCTGCAAACCAACATTTGGAATCGACGATGTGATGTTGTGCCGGATCTTCACAGTAAAACAACGATCAGGAGTCTCTGCAACTTAACAATGCCAAACAATTGAGAATTTAAATTTAAGGGCGCAAGGAATTGAAATGAACCGTGTAGATGATAACTTACGGCTGCGTCTAGGTAAAACAAGATCGCCGTCTTCGTCCACCATGAACTCTTGCTGCGCAGGGGATTCCTCGACTTTGAACAGCTCATTGTATCTGCTTGATTCAACTTCTAAATAATTAAAAATGAGATTAATTCAGTTAAAAACTTCAAGTACGAAAGAGTAGAGGAGGATTGACGGAATACCAGGAGGAAGAGAGATGGTGAAGCGGGAAACGTGCGGCCCGGAGATGCCAGGCGGACATCCTAGGTGGACCTCACTCATTACCTGTTCCTGTTCCTCCACATCTTCAGACGAACCCCCACCGTTCATCAGCACGGCTTCTTCATTTTTTTCTGATGATGATGTTGAAGGTAGAGATGAAGAGGTGAGTCCTGTGTTCATTAGATTGAAGACTGTGGAGTGGTAACAGAAACAACCCTAAAAATTGCCGGAAAATTGATTTCCAAAAACGGAGCCACACGCAAAAAGAACAAACAAACAAACAAACGAAGAACAAGCGGTAGCTCTCAGAAAATACTTCCTTTAAACGGTGCGTTTTTGCCAGTCTGAAATGAAATAGGTAAAAATACTCTGTTATTATTATTATTATTATTATTTTACATTAAAATTAATTATTGAGTTAGACGAATAGTCCTTATTTTCCCAATATTTCCCATATGTCTCAAGAATTTTTGAACCTAAGATATTTAATTTGGAATAGTCAGTTCTTAACCACTTGAAATAGGTGGTTAAAATCCTCTTCAAAATACTTAAGCTAGTTTTTATAAATTCTATTTTTTTTATTACTAAAACCTTTTGAACTCAAGTTCCATGTTCTAACAAATTGTGTTACAACGCCTTGATATTAGGTGGTAGATAGTTTTCTTCTTCATTTTTTAATTTCCAGCACTTGATTTTTCTTTCTTAACTAGTAAGATGCAGGTTCCAAAGTGTTTATCCTGCACATCATCAAAAGTATAATCTAAATGAATGCACATCTAAAGTAAAAGATTTTTTTTTTTTTTTTGGTTGGTGAATATAACACAATGCTTTGCGTTTCACTTTTACAATGAAATATTAAAGAAAACATGAGAGAAGCTAGATGCTTCCATACCCACTCACCTACTGAGAGAAAGAACATGGCAACTTCTTACTTTCCCATAGATGCCTTCCGTTGTGAAGTGCAAAAGAATTGAATGAAAATGAGATAATATCTATGCACCCAATGTTGTTTTCTTTCATCGCCCTCTAAGCGCTGCAAGCTGAACTGCCAAATCATCATAGTCTGGTAGCTTAGGATGCACATGGCTGCCTAGCATATCTGGCTGCAGTGAACTTGCCCGAGCATGCCCCTTTTTTGCCTCGTTCGAGGTTGTTGACTCCATGGGAAAAGATGCTACTTTGGTTGCTCGAGGACCTAAATGATCAGATTTAGCATTTCTGCTTCTGGTTGCTTCCTTGGTTTCATCAGCTCCTTGTTGTGTAGAAATTTTTGAATTAGCTTTCCTGCCACTTGATGATTCATATGGTGACTTTTTATTGCTGTATTGCATCAAAAGCCCATCAATCATTTTCTCCTCTTCGTCTTCTGTGCGTTTGGGGGGCAGTCTCCCCCTTGCTTCTAGAGTCACAGCATTAGCATTGACCCTGGTGGCATCAGTGTTTTCAACACTGCTCAAACTTTCATGATCAAACAGTCTTGAAGGTCTTCTCCTGACCGATCTTGGTTTTGGGTTAGCATCCACAACAGAGTCATCTTGTTTGCTGCTGCTTTTATCTTCAGCAACACTACCACTTAGTTTTTTGGACTCCTGTGTACTGCTTGCTTCTTTGGCAAATTTTGGCGTAACATATGGTGCCGGAATAGATCTGTAGTCGAAAGGCTTCCTCTTTTCATCATCCTCGGAAGCACTTCCAACTGAACTCGGGGACGTATGTGACAAATCTTTATCAGTGCTGACACTGCTGCTTATTTCAGTCACTTCATCTTCACTGCAGCTATACACCTTGTATTCGGTACCTGCACCCTTGTTACTACGCAAAGAATTAAGGTTACTCCTATTTCTTCCTGGCTTGGTATACTCCTTATTCTTACTCAGTTTGTTCTCATCATCGCGGTTGTCCTTTTTCTGGAAATCATCATTCTTGCTTTTATGCCAGCTGTATCCATGATCATCAGAATCATTTGAGTGGTTGTGCCTGGGACCATCCTGCAAAAAGTTCATGAATGTCACGAGGAGCATCAGCAGGGAAAACATGTGAATCTTTATTCTTCAGAGACCTACAATTATGGTGATATATTAACGTTTAGCATCTAGTGGGGCTGGCATAAGGAAACCGGGTCCCTACGCATTCAAGTCATGTTTATAATGACGAGCCAGCAGACATTTTCTTTCTGCTGCAAGTTATGTTCATTTCTTCTTCATTTGCCCTTCTCTATCCTCTAGAACCTCCCATATCAGGTTGGGATTAAAGCAAACAGACATAACTTTATACTTTTAAAGTTCAAACTGGGCACGGTTCTTCATTTTCTAAGTTGCTCTTTATCTCAGGTCCAATATGAAAAAGTTATTTATGATATCTTAAACATTTGGCTTACCTGTTTGGGCGGAGGTGGTTTAAACAGTTTCTGTTCCAAAGCCTTAGGATCCCATTCTAAAGAAAGCTCTTCAGCAATATTATGCATTAACCGAAGTTTCACCTCCTTTGTTGGTGGCTCTGCCCTCAACTTCTGAGCAAACTGTAAACAAGAGATTAGTTAGGTTAGTCCTAGGAAAAAAAGACACTCTTGAGTGCTGAAGAGGATTTATTCAACTCAGGTTAAGGATTGTCACCTCTTTATTGAGAAAAGATTCAAGGAAGTTCCCATATTTCTCACTAAATAGACCTCTAAGATCACGCAGTTCTGGCAAATCAGCAAATCTGGCTGCAGCATGTATTAGAGATGACACGGCCTCTCTGCACTCCTCAGGGCATTCCCTGCAGAGAAAGAAATGTGAAATGTCAAACAAAAGGAGTACTTCAAACCATAAGAAAACAGAGGCAGGATACTGAAAATGTCATGTATATACCTTTCTTTTTGCATGACTGACAGATTCTTCAGGATACAATCACAATACTGATCAACAAATTCATAACAGGCTGTTCTGTTTTGCTCAACTAAAAGCCCTTCAACCTGCACCATCATTCACAAGAAATTAAAAACTAGGACAAGCTATAATAACAACGATATTCTATGCACCCATCTCATTCATGAGAGGAGTGAATCAACAGAAACCCACCAAAATTGCATTTTTCCTTTTGTGTATAAATACTTACATAAAGAAGAGACTGCTGATAAAGGTCAACAGTGCAACAACTTAGGTATTTTAATTAATGGAGAAGGGAGTGCACTTTTAATAAAACTAAAAATAGTGAAAACGGGAGAAAGGACAATAGCAAAAATGACTAAATGTAATTTTTTTGCCCGAGGTCAGAAATTAACACTTAAAACATCATATTTTACCAAAATAATTGCAAAAAAAAAAAAAACAGATTTTGCTCCATCAAGGTACTTTAGAGCTTTACCATAAAGAAATAAATGAAAAGAAACGAAAATAAAGAGAAAGATACAGAAGGCAAGAAAAAGACAGATTCACAAAGCGGTGGAGAAAAATACAGATTAATTTTGGCAATTTCAGGGCAGACATGATCAACAATGAGCTAAATGATCTGATATTCAGAAACGAGGAATTACCCTGCCATAAGCATTGTAATGGAGACCGCTCTTAAGAAGATCAGCAACATCATTCTTCAAATACTTCTGCACCGCATCCCTTTTCTTCAATATCGTCTCCAGACGCACCTTCGTGAACTTTATCGCCGATTTGCTACATCAACAACAACAAAAAAAAGTCCGCAAATACATTCAATCAAACCGAAATCCAAAACAAAGCACCACAAATCAACATCAGAAGCTACAAAATGCGATTTGCGCTTACCATTTCGAATAGAACTTCGGTTTCAATATTCCATGAAACATCTTGAATCTCTGAGTAAAGGACGAATCCGTGCACCTATCTTGAGAGAAAGAGAAGGGAACTGCGTCGTCTCCAGCCAAAAAAGAAAGTCTGTGCGGTTTCACGGTTACAAACTCTCGTTTCTTCAGAACGGAATAGTTATATCAGGCACACCTGCAATCTCCATTTTCGAACACAGGGAAGCAAAGAGATGGAGCAGTTGGAGAAATATAACAGAAAGAGAAGGTATATATTGGAACGGTTTAAGAAAGAGAAAGGAATGATCAATCAGGAAGCTTATTATTGGGAGCTAGAAAGCGAAGAACAAAAAGCCGTAGAAAGGGGAGGAAAAATGACATTTCGACGTAAATTCCGTCTCTCTCGCGGTAATAGAAAATTTTTTGGCAGGTGTTTCCTTAGCTGTGTCCTGAAATTATCATAATAGGGTCACCGTTCGAAGTGCCTTTTTTTTTTGTCAAATGTCCAAGTTAGTTGTTTAAATATAGTCAATAATTAATAATTTATATTTGATTATTAATAATTTTAACAGTGATATA